CTCTGTGTGTGTACTGATTCCGACTGACACCACCGCTCGTCCTCTGCCAGCAGCGTTCTGTGTGTGTATCCCACTGCACGCAGCGGTTAGGTGCATTTGTGATGGACTAGTTGCAGTGGCACTAGGGAGGGGACCACCAACTTGAGTGCACTTCTCTCCCTGCTTTGACTCAAGGTGGAAAAGGAGAATGTATCATCAGCAGAAACGAGGGAAGATGCGTTAGCAGTCCCTCGCATTGACATACCCTTACCATTTGTGCTCAGCAGTCCTCACTCAACGAGGGGAATGAGAATGAAACAGGGATTCATACATTACCATGTACTTCTTTTTCCGGGCATCGTTGGAGCATGGAACGGTACACCACCAATTTTTTCATCTGCTGTGCCCTGCCGGCTGATTCAAGATGAATCTTCAGTGAGAACGATGGAAGGTACATCGCTTTTTATTTATTTATTTATTTATTTATTTATTTATTTATTTATTTATTTATTTTTTGTAGACAGCAGCTTCACGCGTCGCTCTCCAGATCGCTCTCTCACAGGCTCACTTCACCTTTTCCTGTCTCCCTCAGATACATGCGCCCTTACACGCGCGCGCACTCGACACAGCCTTCTTCCTCTCTCTCCCTGTCTCCACTTGCGAAGGATAATGCCCCCGCTTTTGCACTGTTTCTCTCTTTCTCTCTGATTCTCTCTATTACACCCTCTCAATCTCTCCCGCTATATCACTCACTCGCATCTCTCCTTACCTGCATGTGCGCAGACCATCAGTTCTGTCATAGGAGCCAATTAGCAGACTCAAATTCGATTGTATCTGGATGTGCCACGAGCAGAACACTTATAATTATAAATAGAGAAGATATCATCCCTCTCTGTGGCACGTTCAAGATAGCCCTCAGGCAATCAACCCCCATAGCTTCCCACTAGAAGCTGCCCTTTCAAGTTCTCGCCAACTGTAGCCAACGAGGCTGCCCGAACATTCACGGGATGAGGCTAATGAGAATGAACCTTTAGCTGAAACATGGGTAAATTCATCAATCATTTTCTTGGTCTTCTGTCATCAACTGGCTGTCAGTTGATGTCACCTCCGTCCTGCTGATGTCATACCCTCCCCTGTAACTGTTGTCGCGGCAGCAGCAGCACCTCACGAACAGGCACGAGGTCTCTCCCCTGACTCTCTTTCTCACTTTCTCTCCTAGTTCCCTGGCTCATTCTTGGATGTACCTGGACGTAGCTGGAGCCAGGTGTCTGCAACATGCGAAAGGGGGATAAGGGTTCTTTCTCTTTTCTTCTCTCCATAACTTCCCTCGTAGTTGCTCAGCCGCGAGGGTCAATCTCCCCTGTCACATGTAACGGTTGACATCACCTCTTCTGTGACCATCACCATGCTAGCAGCAGCACCTTACGGACAGGCACTGGATCGAACAGACACGGCAGCTGCGTTCCCTGTGGTCGCAGTCCATGTGCTGGGTTCCCTCCTGGTCGCCTGTGGTCGCCTGAGTCTCCAAATGCCCCCAATCTGCTCGCTGGTCCGCTCTTTATCCCCATAGTCCGAGAGGCTTTGAGTCCTAGAGAGGCGCACGGTACCAGGGCACTACGTGGATACAAGTCCCGTTCGCTGGCCAGTGGGTCCAGCAAGGCTACAACAGAGCACCCACCAGCGAACGGGAAAATTTGCATTACAGTAGACTGGAAAGGCCCCGATACCCCGAACTTGAATCGCCAAATCAAGTATCTGGACCAGAATCAGTATCACCGAACCAGTTACAACAGCCGAAATCAATACCAGAGGTCCACATGTCTCATTCTGAAACCAGTACAGCTTATTTGAGCGCCGTAACCAGGCAAATCTTCGTTAGTCCCATAGTGACCATGTGGCTCGTGTTGCTGGGCCAACCACCGTAGGCGGTTGATGTTACCAAAGTCCGCCTTATGGTAGTGTCGGGACAAATACCGCTCGATAATCAAGTGTTCACCCGAGTTCCGTACGACAATCGGCACCCCATGGGAACTCAGCAAAACTCGGGTGCCGCAAGCTCGATAATTACTGGGTTATAGCAAGGATAAAATTTAAGTACAATCCGGTAAAATTCGGGGAGGGTTAATAATTAAATAAAATCCTCTTTAAATCAGCGAGGAGTAATAATTAGGCAAATCTTGGTAAAGATCGATGAGGGTGGAATCGGGCAAATTTTGTTCAATAATAAAATAATCACTTGTTTTTTTTTTGTTTTTTTTTTTTTAACAGGTTCTTATGGCCCTGGTTCCATTTCCATTCTGGGGAGCGTCAGTCCGGTTCCTATTCCACCGGCAAGTCAAAATGAAAAGATACAACATAAGGATCCCACACACGCTTCCTTCCGTCTGGCCGAAGGACCCGTGAACAGCATTGATTGCTCCACCATAGTGGAGGATTGACTGTCAGCTTGCCCTTCCCTCCTCTCTCCTCTCAGACCTGGCATCCAGATCTGCCAGATATAGCCATTTTACCTAGAGAGAGCACAGCCCTCGCCCTTGTTACCTTGTTTTCTCGCCCTCTATCCCTCCAGCCCCTTTTCAGAAGGCTACCATCCATCCTTAAACCCTCAACCCGCACTCTGCACTCCTGACCTCGGACAGTCAATCTCCTTCTCCAACCTGTTCTCCTCCCATGTCTCCTCTTTGTCCCAACCCCCTGGGACTCTTGYGGSRTGGAGTTCAATCCCTYGYGGCCTAAGCCGCGATTATTTCTTYCGACGTTGCATGTTGTTGAAAGCCCCTTTCAGGAATTGAGTTGTGCCACTCCTTCCAGCATACCCGGTCCTCTCGCAGTTCTGCGATCTTGCCCTTCAGCAGCCAACTACTATAAAATTCCAGCCTCTCCTTCTTCCGCTGCTCTTCGTCCTCTGTCCAGGCTTGTTTGATCTTCCGCCATCTGCTCAGGATTTCCGCTTGAATCATTGTTTTGGTTCTATCCATACCTTCTCCCTTGGGTTGGAGCGCCCTTCGATTGTTCTGCTGCATCTTTCCTTCCATATGACCCATAGCGTCACTTTTCTGATGAGCTCAAACCAGATCCTTTCCGCCCTCCGAGCCTGATCGGGGATGTTAGTCAAGAGGAGCAGTTGAATGGGTTGTTCGGGGAAGGGAGACGTGAAGAGGGAGTGCCAGAGTGATGAGGGTCTCGCCCAGTAATCTGTCACCTCTTTACAGAGCACTAGACAGTGGACTACATCTTCTACCGCACCTGCAGTGCAGACTGTACATAGCTCCGAGCTATCAGGATTTGTGGCCTTCCGTCTAGTGTGCAGCCATTGGTTTACCGGTAGGGCTGCGTAAGCTATCAACCACTGCAGGCTTCTAATCTTTATTGGTCTAATTCGTTGAAATTTTTCCCATGGGATTTGTTTAATTTTGTCAGCTTCCTGGCCCACAAGCTTCTGCCATCTGTTTTTGATAATGGGGTCTGGATTTTTGGTCTTCAGCGAGAGACTGTACCCGAGTTTGACTGTGTAGTACTGAATTGGGATTTTTGTCTTGAAGCTGCTGGTAGCATTTGGCGTCCAGGCCCATTCAACAGGATCGAATTCTTAAGGACCGGACTGCAGTATCTGGTCTGAAGATTGACTTTGGCCATGTACCTAGGACCCTTACTTTCCTGAGGAGGAAGGAGTCTAATGTGGAGGATTCGACGTTACAGTTCAGGATGGCTGGCATATCAGTGCTGGTGAGAGAAATCGGGAAGGAAAGGAAGGTGGCTCTGGTGGGTGAGTCTTGCTGCATATGGGAAAATTGAAAGGCTCTAGAGGGGGTAGTGTCTTGAATCATGAGGCCCCATTTTCTTTTTATCATTTAAAAAAAAAAAAAATTATTATCTATTTTTAATTTCATCATTAAATGAGATAAAGATTTTGGCTTCCTTCTTTGGCAACTGGTCAGTGTGAAAAGGACCACGCGAAGGCCTACTAGCTCATCCTCGTTCCGTGGCTGGCCAATTCAAAGACAGCCTCAGAACAGATGAAAAAGGGGAGCGCCAAGCGCGGTAGAGGCGGCTACCCAAGTTATCAATTTCAAGGGTTAGTACCAACGGTTGATGCAGGGAATTTCATAGTTCATCTTAGCACCCCTAAATTTCCCCGACAGTTCCGACAAAAATACACAAACCGCCGCGTGGCGGCGCCTATGGTCGCCTCTTCAATCTCTCCGTGTGGAAGCCCCAATACCCTCTATTTCGGGTGGGCGACCAGTCTGCGGCCGCCCGACAACGGGCCTTAAAATGGCCCGTGCAGCCGGTTGCAGGCGCCGCATGTAACACCTATGCTGGAGTACATCATCTTCTTCTTCTTTCTTTCTTCTTCTACTTCTTCTTTCCCTCTCTCTCCTCTCAAGTTCTTTCATTTCTTTTTGCAATTGGACGGTATTGTACTTTCTGATGAATTTATACTTCGAAATTGGCCACGATTGTAACAAATTTAATAAATAAATAAAAGAACAATAATTGGTATACAGCTTTTGCTGTGTGAAGTTGCGAACGATTTCCACGAGGAAGACTGTGGTGGTTACATGGTTTTGATATGTATGTGCTACTATGCGGTCGTTCACTTCTTAGGTATCTAGTTTAATAATTCTTTGTCCGTCTGCTGGTGATGTTGCTGAACTTCCCAATGGGCAATATCATAGTCCTCGTTTGGTGTAGGATTGTTAACGATTTCTTTTTTCTTTTTTCTTTTTTTGAATGCTATCTTAAGTTTTGTTTCCTGCTCTGTATCGTTCGGATTTTAACGGATCTCCCCTGCGCAGGGATGGGACGCATAAGTTGAGAAGTAGTCCAGATTGGGAAAAAAATAAAAGTTTTGCGTCCTCCCGAATGTGCTGTGTGGTCTGTTCTCATTTGTGTGTAATAATGGCAGTGTGGAGGATTCTATTTGTCTTATCTCAATGGGTGCTATGCATAGGTCTCTGTTATGAGATCGATGCGTTATGGCTAATGAAGATTATCATGTGTGGGTTTTTGTTGAGCAGAGGATCTGGTGACTGAAGTGATACGAGTGGGAGAACCAGAGGAGGGCTTCAAGGGGACCGGGTTGTTAGGCCATGGCAAGAGAGACATGCAACCCTCCTTGAATGGCGCATGTGACCGATTTCGACCCGCAACAGAGTTGGACCGTCAGGATCATCGGGAGGGGAGTGGAAGAGAGAGAGAGTTTGTATGTGAAGGAGACGTAGGATCAGTACATACTAGTTATAGAAATGGCAGTTCCATAATGAGGGAGTTCACAGAAGCGGACAGAAGTGAGGGGATGGCAGGGGACTATGGGATGTCAGCCCTGCAAATAGAGACAAGGAGCCAAGAAGAGCATGTAAGCAGAGGGGATGGGAGAGAACCATTGATAAGACATCATGCGGAGCCAGGAGGGATGAGCAAGAACCGAGGAGAAAATGGAAGCGACGGTCATGCTGATGGCCAACGAGGACTGCGGCGAGGTCAGGAGCGTTATCCTGATGATCGTGGATGTGGCGGAGAGCAAGCTTTCACGTGTGGGCTGTATGGTCAGCTGGCTGTTGGGGGCCAGGTAAGTGAAAGCAGTGTTGTTGGGGTTGGGGTAAGTGCTTCTGCTACAGGAAGCTTAGCAGGGGATGTTCGATGTAGGACTGATAGAGCAGACAGCTCCGATGTTGTGATTCTGGAAGCCCAGAGGTCGTGGGGGCGCTGATCTATTGAGTGTTTCTGTTCTGCCGCATGCCATGCATGCAGAATATACCCACCCGAAGTCCTTTATCCCTACTGTCTTCTATTTCTTGCAGCAGGCCACCCTGCAACCCTATTAAATAACCTTACATCTGTATCTTGGCTTTTCTCGGTACGCATCTTACATCTTGAAAATCACATCTGTATCTTGCCTTTTCTCTGCAGGCTTCTTTGGCAATAGGCAGTAGGGCACGTTTGTACCCTCTTGCCTGGTAAGAGGGGATCATCAAAATTGTGTATTTAGGAACGTGGGTCCGTAAGGCGTGTGCATAGATGGGTATTTGCTGTATTCAGAACAGGGTCTGTCACGGCCGCGTAGTTGGCTGGCTTGCTGTATCATCATGTCGTGTGTGAGGGGGGTCGCAACAGGGTTTCATTTCGCAGAAAAGGTGTGTGCGAGTGTGCTGTCTGGCATGTTTGCCGTGTTTCCATATGGTGCGTCGTCATGATCTTGAGGCGTTTTTAGAACACTTTTCCAAAGAAATTCTTCAGTAACCTGTTGTTTTATTGTTCAGATGTCAGATGAGTGACTTCTACAGTTGCTGTGTGCAATTTCATTTGCTCCCTCTCACCCGGTTTACGCTCTACTCTCTGGATTTCACCATATAGCTCTCTAAGGGAGTTTCCTTGTCACTTCCTTGCATTGACTGACTGTCTCTCGGTCGAGCGCAGGTGCTTGGTGTTGGCCTCGATGTCTCCTACTTTCTCCACCGGGTGCTGCTTTACCAACTACACTACACTTACGATGGATCGGGCAGTTAGTGCTTTGTGTTTTTTGTGCATTAGGAATGGCAGGCCTCAAGGGCACCAAAGGAGGGGAGTTGGTGGTCAAAAGGCAGCCTTGTTGGAGTTGTGAAACACGGTGGTCGGATCTCTTGCTGCGACCATTGTCATGACATTGCAACTCTGCAAATGTATAGTGCTCATTGAAGAAGGGAAGAACAGAGGTAGGAATACACGGCTTTTCTTTTGTTGTTGTATTGGTTGGCACGATGTCAGTTTGCATTCTGTGCCAAAGCCTCCTGGCCTTCAGTCAAAGGTGGATTAATCAATATTGTTTTTGCGTTTCGGCTTCTTTTTCCCTCTTCTCTGAGCAAGATTGCAGGGAAATTTGCTTATTTCTATGATGTTTTGCAAGGTCGCTCCCTTCAACAGGAACACTCTGATGCCTGCTTTCTCTCTCTCTCTCTCTCTCTCTCTCTCTCTCTCTCTCTCTCTCTC